AAAACATGTTATGACCATAAAAATTGAACAGAGTTCTGTTCTTTAAAGGAGGCCTTCCGTGGTCAAGGTCAAAGGCAGGTGGAACGTTTATTCCACCCAGGGTGACCACTACATCATTGTCTTTTCTTTTTAATGCCACACGTTACGGGTCGGTAGGGTTTGGTGGCCCAGGGCCCAAAATGTTTTCAATGCACTGCAATCCAGCCTCCATGCTTCACCAAAGGCAAATAAAAATGTGTCCAAGAAACAAAAATCACCTACTGCTAATGACATATCGGATTCAGCCCATTCCTGTCCAAATCACAGACATGCCTATTCAGACCTCGGAGTTCAGCAAAATATTGCAGGCAGTTTGTGGGGGAATTTTTACTTTACAAATTATTGACATGGCCGATTACCACAGGGTTAACAACACAGACAATCTCAGCATTTATTACAAATAGCATGTGGTCCCTAGTGAAACTAATCCCATCAGAATAGGGCTTAAGTTATGCATCAATTTGCTCATAGTTCTGTATTTGACACTGGCATCTTCTTTCAGAAATGTTTGAATGGTCAGTTTAGACCATTTTCTACAGCTTTATATTTTCCTAGTGTAGGTTTTTGACCTCTTCCTGTCAGTCATCATGTCTTCCCTTTCTGTCTAACAGGTTCTTACAGCTCAGGACCTGGTGGACTTCTCACCTGTCTACAGGTGTCTACATATTTACACTGTGCTGGTGGGTGTCTCTGTCTCTCACACACAAATTAGTTTTCTTCATAGGAAGTGATAAAACACATTGCACAGCCGTAGGATTAGAAAACATTTATTTACCTTTATCCAACTCTACGGTTTTATTTTTCCCGTGTCCTTTCTAAGGCTTAAAGCAGAAACACTCACTGAAATAAAGTATCTGGTGAGCAGACCTGAAGCCATATTCAGTCATCCAGGGACATGAGTGGCTCTGATAGACAGGTATTTATGCTGCACCACTACAAGACAGCTTTTACAGGAGAGGTGAACAAGTCTGTTTCTGTTTAAATGTGAAATCATAGTTGTGTTGGTCCATCAGAACCCAACAAAACCTGTATAGAGCCTGCACTTTCTCCAAGAACCGAATCCACCTCTTCAGGGTTGATGGTGAAACCGATGACTGAGCACATGCAGATGGGAAAAACCTCATACTGGTCCTTGTCCTGAAGCAGGCAGCCGCCCTGAGGACAGAGGATAATAACAAGAGACTTTTGCTTAGCTTGTGTTGACTGTGTGGTCATCATGTCAAATCACGAAAGTCAAACAGATTATAGAAATGCTCAAAACTAGCAGCTAAAAAACTCCAACCAAGGCAGTTCTGAGCAGCAGCTATTTATTCTGACTGAGGATCTGAGGATGGGTACAGGCTGCAGGCAGGACCTTTCACTTGTTGTCACGTCATGTGCACTGTGTGTGATAAGAGGTGTCTTCAGCCAGGACATGCTGGGGCATGATACCTTATGTGATGTATTGAGTTCTTTAGTTGAAAGGGAACTGCACAGATTAAAATGTCACATCACTGTACTGCAGTTCAACTTCAGATCTAATGGAGAACACAGGTGGAAATACAGACACTTCTGAGCACTCGTTTGGCCCTCCCTCAAGCCTGGATACAAGCTAAATGAAATCATACAGCACGTTGATGAACTTTGTCTCTTTAATTCTTTGTGTCTGCAGGGCGATCGAGAAACATTTGAGAGCTACTACAGGAAACAGAGGAAAAAACAGGCCCGTCTAGTTCTGCAGCCACAGGCTAACATGGTGAGGAACACTCATCAGGAAACCAATATGGCATGTAGAAAACCTGACTTTATTTCTAGCTTACACAATGTGCCAATGTTCCTGACTTCAGCTTCATGGTTGTGGAAGACTTTGTAAATTGAATCAGCAGCTAGTGATAAATCACAGCTGAAACGATGGCATTAAACAGAAAAAGCATCAAGGTTATTAAACTTTGTTTTTTTCATCATATTGCTAATAACTAGTTATTAGTTATCTCTTTAGTCATTTAAATCGTAAGTATGGTTTGATGGAATAATAGAAAAAATTAGTAAATTTACACCGTGGTATATCTTTAAAACCAGTTCTATTTCATCCCTACTGACCGCCAGAGGATGGTGCTGAAAGCACTGAATATTCCCTTCGCACATGCGCCTTTCGAGTAATTAATATCAACAAAGTCCCAGCTGTGACCTATCGGACGATTACCTTGAACCGATAAAGTCCGGTAACATCCCGGGCTCTGCTCCTTTTTTCTTATTGCGTGCCGTTCGCATCTTTGCTCGGCATTAACCTTTGCAAAAAGTTTGGATCACTTCACTGTCGCTGGAAGCCCGTTCGTCAGTTGGCTGGAATTGCGAGTTCACCTCCCGGGCTGCGACGAGTGACCTTCGGAGAGGGATGTGCTGTTTGCCTGTGAAGAACTCTGTCTCCGCTCCTGGTTCACGGCCTTTTTCCTATGTTTACTTTCTGCAGTATTGACTGGCGAAGGTGCGTTATATCGCACCCCCGTCTCAGTTACAAAAGTTTGTGGTTGGACATGAGCTAACGGTGTTAGCCTCTTTTTGTTGCTGTTTGCTGGCGATACTAGCGCTGACGCTTCCTCTTCCAGAACAGCTTTTTTTCTGTGGAGTGAACTAACAATGTTAGTCACTTTTTATTTGCCATTCGCTGAGGTATTTGTTTTTTTCCCAGCACAGCTTATTCTAGTCTGATTTATTCAATCTCAAAGGTGTTTTGGTGAAGCTGCATTACGCTGTGTCTCCTGATCTTAGTCTGAGTCTCTTTTTCCAGTCCTGTAGCTGACAGAGCCGACTGTTTCGGAACATTTATGTTAGCCGTCCAAAAACTCAGCGAGTAGTTAATAACTTATTAACTATTCGCTGTGTTTTGGATGGCTGCGTTAGCGCCCCAGCTCCCAATTTCAGCCTGACTACTTTCTGTTCCTTAGATGAATATAGCGACATCAGCTCTGTTTAATTAATTCTAATTCGCTGAGTTTTGGTGACAGCCGTGTGTACGCTGCTTCTCCCAATCTCAGCCTGATTTCATTCTGTCCTGTGTCTGGACGTAGCTGTGAAAGCTCTTTTTAGTTCTTTGAACTGATTGCTGTGTTTTCTGATGGCTGCGTTAGTGCCCCCTCTCACAATCACAGCCCATTTATTCTACAGGGGAACAAAGCATGGACGTTTCTCACAGTTGTGTGGATTGTGGGGCCATGCTGCAGGCAGATAATGGTCATGACCAGTGCCCTACCTGCCTTGGAAGCGATCACCTGACAGAGATTGGACAAGTGGCCCAGCCAAGGTGCTCGAAGCGCCAGAGTGAGGCCACAGTTACTGTGGCACCTCCCAAAAAGACACGGTCTAAGTCTGATCGGGGTCTCTCTATGAGAATTGAACAGTTGTCGGCGGAATTGGCAGAGATGAAATCACTGCTCGAGGAACATCAGCTGGGTAATACGGTGGAGGGACCTGTTTTTTCTTCCCCACCTATGCCTGAGTTGACTAGAGAGGATGATGTATTGTCTTTGGCTGCCTCCGCCTCTTGCTTTAGGAGTGAAGAGGAGGCACAGTCCCCTCACGCTTCAGAGACTGGTTCACTCTCCTCATCTCAGAGTGCAGCCAGTGGGTCAGATTTCAGTCCCATCCAGGACATCATGCGCATGGTCCTAAGACAGCTACAGTTGGAGTTTCCACTCTCGCAGGGGAAGGTATCTGCTTCCGGGAGTGCGCCTCAATTCAGATGGTCGAATGTCGGCAGCCATGCATGAACCGGCCAAGGCTGGCTTAGAGGGTATGCCGGCAGTTGAACCCTCTATGGCCTCGCTCATTGTGTCACATGATGAGGCTCTGCGCTGTGATGTTCAGTGCCCACGACCTCAATGTCGCATTACAGACGACCTCCTCTGTAGAGCTTAAAGTGCTGGAGCACATGCTGGCCGCCTTGGCAATTCCTTAGCACATCTTATGTTTGCCCTCTCCTCCTCCCTTCAGGATGCTGGCGGGAATACTGCAGTGGCCACTTTTAGTGATACAGCGCTTCAGGCCTTTGCACTGATGATTAGAGAGCTTGGCCATGTAATGTCCAACCTAGTCCAGGCTCGCCAACAGGTTTGGTTGGCGCAGTCTGCATTGACAGATGCATGCCAAAGGACTCTAGGTTTTCGTTCCAGTGGTACCAGGTGAATTGTTCGGTTTGGGGGCCTTGGAAGCCCTAGGACGTACAGTTCAGGCACGGCAGATGAGAGAGCAACTCTCCAGCCTTAGTAGGGCGATGCCTCCTCCCCCACCTAGACAGCAGAGACAACTGCCGACTGGCCCCAATGTTTGGCTGTTGTCCCGGAGTGGTAATTGGTCCCATGGTTCTTATTTTCAGGCTGCACAGCGAAGACCCAGCAGAGGGTTTTGTAAATCAGCCCACCACCCAGTCAGGCAGGCCCTGGCCACAGACTCTGGGCCCCGCCCCGCAGGGCCCCTAGGGGCCGAGGGGGTAGGAAATGATATCACCAGGCAGGCCGTCAGATATTTTACCCATCCACAGCTCATTCAATGGGCTGCTCATGCTGTAGATCCATGGGTTGTTGCCACTTTGACTCATGGTTACAGGCTACAATTCCGTTGCCACTTTGACTCATGGTTACAGACTACTGTTCCATTGGCGGCTTCATATCTCCCACCGGGTCAAGATTACTGTAATTACAGACCCAGTGAAATCCCAAGCTCTAGACCAGGAGCTTTCTAACCGCCTGGCCAAGGGCGCAATCGAGGCAGTGGATCCCCTGCGGCTACTATTCAACATACTTTCTTGTGCCAAAAAAGACAGGTGGGTTTCGTGCCATTTTAGATCTGAGGGGACTCAACAAATATTTAAAAGTGTTGCATTTCCACATGCTCACAACATCAGAGGTTCTTCAGGCTGTAACAAGGGGGAGAGTGGTTTACATCAATAGACCTAAAGGATGGGTATATTCATGTGCCTATTGCGGCAGAGCATCGTCACTTTCTCCGGTTTGCTTATCGGGGTCGCCATTGGTAATTCAGAGTACTCCCGTTCGGCCTCTTCCTTTCTCCGAGGGTGTTTACACGCTGTGTAAAAGCAGCCCTCTCTCCTCTACAGGCCAGCGGAATGAAGGTACTTCCGTATCTCGACGATTGGCTTCTCTGTGCCTCTTCTCGGGTGAGTGCCTCTTGGGATACAAGTCGCCTGATAGCCCACTTCTCCTGGCTGGGCCTCAAGGCCAACTTGAAAAAGAGCTGTCTGATTCCATCTCAGACAGCCACCTTTCTGGGGATGGTCTTGGATTCGCTTTATATGATGGCTCAACCATCTGTTCAAAGGATAACCTGCATTCCACAGTTGCTCAGTCGGTTCAGGCTAGGCAGGAGGTTGCCTTACCTCACTTTCCTGCAGCTGCTAGGCAAGCAGATGTTGATTACTCAGCTGGTGCCCTTGGGATTTCTGTCACTACACCCTCTGCAGAGGTGGCTCAACAGCTTTTGCCTGGATGCCAGGGTGCACAGGCATCGCAAACTCCAAGTGACATGGTCTTGTCTTCGTGCCTTGTCTCCATGGAGAGACAAGGGTTATCTGTCCAAGGGTGTCCCCATGGGGATTGTAGTGTGCCGCAAAGAGGTGGTCACAACAGATGCCAGCTGCACAGGATGGGGTTGCTGTGTGGCAACACAGAGCAGTTCAGGGTCGCTGTAGCCTAAGGGATTGCTGCAAACACATGAATGTGCCGGAGCTGCGTGCCGTACATTTGGCTTTAAGGCATTTCTCCCCAACCTGGAAGGAAGGCATGTGCTAATTCGGTCAGACAACACCTCTGTGGTCTATCACATCAACCACTAAGGAGGTACCAGGTCAGCACAACTTCTGAAGGTGTCCAGAAATCTGCTGGGATGGGCCTATTTTCACCTGTCCACACTGCATGCAGTGTATTTGCCAGGGCAGCACAACCAGGTCTCAGACTCTCTCTCTCACCAGGGGCCTGCCCCAGGGGAGTGGTCTCTTCACAGCGACATAGTTCATATGATCTGGGATCTATTTGGTCAGGCAGAGGTAGATCTGTTTGCCACAGAACAGTCGACGCATTGTCCCCTTTGGTTCTCCCTCACAGGGCCATGTGGTGCAATGGGTCAGGACTCATTGGCTCATCCTTGGCCAAGCGTCCTGCTTTATGCCTTTACACCGCTTCCATTGATTTCGCCCACTCTTCAGAGAGTTCTCAAGGAGCGCCACAGGTTATTGCTAGTGGCTCTGAACTGACCAGCACGACCATGGTTCCCACTTCTACAAAGTCTGTAGGTGTCTTCTGTAGGTGTCTTCAAACCAGGAGGAACCTGATGTCTCAGTTGGGGGGCAGATATGGCACCTGAATCCTCAGAGTCTCCGGCTGTGGTTGTGGCCACTGGAGGGCTTGGGCTGCAACTAACTGGGTACTCTGATTCTGTCAGATGCACAATTATAAGCGCCAGGGCGCAGTCTACTCACCAGCAGTATGCAAACAGGTGGCATCTGTTCTCCCAGTGGAGTTCAGCCCGTAATGAGTATCCAGTTTCCTGTACAGTAACTGTGATCCTGGAGTTTCTCCAGTCTCTCCTAGATAAGGGCCGCTCTCCCTTAACGCTTAAAGTGTATGTGGCGGCGATATCGTGTGGCCATATAGCTATAGATGGCGGTACAGTGGGGAGCCTTAAATTATTTTTTCTTTTCCTGCGTGGTGCTCGTAGGCTGTGCCCACCAGCAAGCCCATGGGC